TCGCCGCCACCACTGCTGTCACTGCTATCACCACCACTGTGGCCGCCTTCGCCGTCGCCACCGCCACCATTGCCGCCACGATCATTATCACCCACCACAACCATCACCGTCTCCTACCACCATCATTATCGTCCACCATCTTTTACTTTTATTATAATTGATGCTTAAATTTATTTATTTTTTCTCTATGTTTGTGATTTGATTTTGGATATAAATATAAATATGTTTATTTTTTACTATTTTTTATTATTAGACAAAAAATATAGCATTTTAATAAGACTGGTAATGGGTCATTTGGGGGCGACTTCATATCATTGTGTCTGAGTTGTGTTGCATCAAACTGACACAGAGTGAAGGAGAAGTGGATGGTACCAAAAATTTGTTTGGTTTTATTTATAATTTTTATAAGTTTTTTTTATACAATTTGAAGGTCATCCGTAGTTTTGAAATCATTTACAACTTTAAGAGTCATTTACAACTTTTGATATTACAATTTTTAGGATCGATCACACGTAATTCTAAAAAATTATAAATGACCCTTCAAAAAATATAACTTGGAATATTAAAGTTTTAATATGACTCCAAAAGTTATAAATTTGTATTTCAACCCACAAAAATTTTAAACTTTGACGATAAAATACTAATTTTTTTCCGATATCATAGTATTCTCTAGAGTCAAATTCGTGTAGTGTATAATTAAATATAAAAATTTTCCCCTTATTAAATTAATCAACATTTAAGAATTGCCAACCTGGAAAACTGACAAATTAATGGGGGTATTTGGTTTGGTTTTACAAAACTGTTTTTTTATTTTCAAAACTCTAAAAACAGACAAAAATTTATTTGGATTGATTTTTGGTTCACCAGTTATCTGGAAAACACGGGGAAGTTTTTTCCGTTCGTTTTCGTTTTTTTTCCCCCTCCAAGCCCGATGTCTTCGTCTCTAAGGAAGTTTTTTTTTATTGATTGTCGTAGATCTGGTGTATATCAGATCTGATCTAGTGAATTTTTTTTCCTTTTCTTATATCAGATCTATTTTTTTTATTTTTTATTTTTTATTCTAGTTTTGTAGATCTCTATGGCAGAACAGATGACTATAGGATCCTTTTTTCTTTTCTTTTATTTGTTGATTATGTGCCGTACTGGTTGTGTACTAGATTTGTATATTCCACTAGTGCTTCTCTAGTACTGGTTGTGTACTAGATTTGTTTTTTTTTTTTTTTTTGTCAAATTTGGTTTTTACGGATTTGTTGATTCTTTTATAATAAATTTATGTTAGTATATTCCACTCGTGCTTCTGGTTATACATGTAAATGTTTTTCATTGATAAGTAATATTCTGTTTGATATGAATGATGGAAAGTAAGATGAATATACTTTTTATTTTCAAAGATAGAAAATATAAATGATATATTTTTTTTCATTTATGTTTAGTTAGATGGATGAAAAATAAAAATGACTAATTTTTTTTTTTTTTTTTTTTGTGATGACTAAGATTAGAATTGACAATTGAGTCGTGTTGAGTCATAAAATTATGAGTCTTTTATATTTCGTATTCACGTGTCAGGTCATTTTCAAGTTCGTGTTAAGTTATAATCAAGTTCATGTCATAAAATTTGTGTCGAGCTCGAGTCGTATCATCGTGTTGAGTCGAAAATTTTTACTCTTACTTAAGATAAAAAAATAATTTTTTTAATTTAAATTTTTTATTTTTATTATTTATTATTAATTTATATATATATATATATATATATATATATATATATATATATATATATATATATTATCATTATATTTTTATATGAAATTAATGTATACATTATATATATAAACAAATTAATCATTACCCGTGCCTGAAGGCACTATTTAACAAACAAAATTTTTTACACAATTATCCAAATTAAAAAAGAATGGCCTAAAAATTTTCATACTAATTCTTCTTTTAAAATGAATCAAAATATATCACCGATCATGCCCTCCATATTACTAGAACTGTCGTAAAAATATATAAAACTCTTCAAAATAATACCACATATACAAATGCCTCTGAAAAAAAATACTAACTTAATTAATTGAAAGTTATAATCTTTAAGTAATAAATAAAATTTTGCTCATTTACAAGACTCATGAATTTATCACCTTTACCACCACTCAATCCAATAATAAAATATAATTATAAACACAATCACCATATTTTTAATCCACTTTATCCCCATGTAATAAATATCTCAAGCAAAAAAAACAAATACTAATATAACTCAATTAAATTCACAATCTTAAAGTGATAAATAAAATCAACCAAATCTTACTCATTTTATAAAACTCATGAATTTATCACCGCTATCACCATTCAACCCTAAATTGAACAATAACATTATAAATTTAATTACCAAATTTTCAATCCTCCACATATAAATATACACAGAAATATATTTTCACACATTTATTTTTTGGCTACCAACAAATCTTCCTAACCAATAACTGATTTTATTAGAAATATAATAATGCGAATTTTATAATAAAATAATAATAAATTAATGTCTAATTAAAAAATAGGGTAAAAAATATGGCCTTCTCGTGAGTTTTGACAATATTATGTGGACACCTCTAAATATTTTATAAATAACATGGAGTTCCTTGCGGTTTAAAATTTATTACACGGCGACCCCTTTCTGTCTCCCTTCCTTCAATATTGCTAACAAAAAGTGATGATTTTATCCCAAAAAAAATTATTATTTTTATAATTGTCTTTCTCCAACTTTAGTACACACAAAAAAATAAAATTTTAATAAAATAAAATATGAATTGATTTAATACCCAAAAAATTGATATAATTTAGTACCTCAAAAAATTGATTAAATGAATTTTAATATTAATTTCATATCAACAAAACTTAATTTGATATTAATTCAACAAAATTGAATATAAATTAGACAAAATTAAATGTCAATTTTTGATAAAAATATATATTAATTTACAATTTAAGGTTCATTTCGTATTGAATATTATTTGTTGTTGATTAAACCAACATGAAATTGACCTTAAATTATAATTTTTTTTGTTGTATATAAACTTAAAAATTTGTATTTTAACCCATAAAATTTAAATACATATTTTTTCACACCGTAGCGTATTCTTTCTTACTATATCATTTGATAAATTTTCTTGTGATCAAGATTCAATAACACATACTTAAAGAAAACCAATTGTTCACCCCCACTTTTTTTAAAAGAATCGCTTACCCTCGCTTGTTAAACTCAAAAATCTCTGGTTCACATGAAAATAAATGAAAGTAAATTAAAACGTTGACAAAAAATTTTGAAAAATTGATAGTTCAAAATTTTTTTTAAAATTTAGTACCAAAATTATTACAAATAGAGCAAATATTAAAAAAAAAAAACTAAAAAAATAATCTATATAAAAACCATTATCAACGAGAATTTTAGAAGAATTTAGGCCCTGAATTAATTAATACCTAATTTCAGGCAAAGATGTGAAAACTCAGATAAAAAAGTTCTCAAATCATGAAGTGCTATTTTTTAGTTACATTAAGTGTTATTTACAAATAAAGAAGCAAATGACAAAATACATGTTGTCAGATATATAAAAATTTGAACTAATTTTATAGAATAAATAATTGCATAATATGTAGTTTCATATGTTTTATGGAGTAAATAATAAAAAAATAACACTTGAAAAAAAAAGATAATAATATGAAAAAAGTTGACATGAGAATCGTCAGATCAATGATCGTTAAGCGATTTGATTCTTGAAAAGCTAAAGACAAAAAAATCTACCCACTTTATTATATATATATATATATATATATATATATAGAGAGAGAGAGAGATAAACAGAAAGAAGAGATGAGATAGTGTGTTTAAAACGTCTAAGAGATAAGAGAGAGAGAGAGAGAGAGTTATATGAGAGATAGAAGTGTTAGAGTTAAATCCAATTATGATCGTCAGATTAGTATTTATGAGATGATCTGAACCGTCTTTTATGTTAGAATTACGTTGTCTATTGTTTGTTACATGTGTTTATGTTTTGTTTCAAAACGACCTGGACTTCTCTTTGTCTCTGTATTCAAACTCAGTTCTACTTAATTATATAAATAATATACACTTCAACATAAATAATTAAGTTTTCATCTACTTTCCTTTCAATTTTGGAGGGATTGATTTTGGTGAATTGGAAGGAAAGTTAATTCATCAACTTTTTCATCATTCCTACTTTTTTTTCTTACTAAACATGATGTTTTATCTGTCCCTTCAACTTTCTATCCTTCTATTTTTTTAACGTACCAAACAGAGTATAAGTGTAGGAGTATGTCTAACTATAATTCAAATTTTTATTTAAATTTAAATTAATATTTAAGTAAAAAGTTTGATTTGATATGAATGACTCTAATGGACAAACTCAAATTTAAAGAAAAAAAAACTTAAATTTAAATGAGGGTAAATCCAAAATTAAATGAGAGTAAAAATGACTATTAAATTTTTAAAAGAGAATATAATATCACTATTAAAAATTTGTGTAAAGATTTGAGTCTCGCTTTATTTGATATAAATTTGAGTCAAAGGTTAGAACAAATTTTTTAAATTCTTTTACTCAAATATAAATTTGAGTCGAAATTAAAAATGTTATAAGAGAAATATACATATACAAGTTGAAGATTCAATTTGAAAAGTATATTATAGGGTACAAATGAGTTTTTATTTTTTATTATACCATGATTTATATTAATTTTTATTAAATTAATAATTCAAAAAACTTTATATATAACATAGTCGCTCCAAACAATATTTCTATTTTTATTGTTTTATATGATATTGTCTGAACATATTTTTTTGTTCCGCATAATTATTTTTTAAAATTATATTATCAAACAAATTTTACGATAAAAAAATTTAAACATACTTTTTTATAACTTTTTTTATAAATTATTTTCGAATACTGTATTTCAAGATTCAATCCAAACAGATCTCGTACAAACTGCCCTTCTTTATGGAGAAAATCTTAACAAACAACTTTTCAAAACATCCACCAAATTTTCAGTTTTTTTTAGAAAAAAAAACATAAAACACTAAACCCTTAATCTAAACTGTTCTTTATTTTATAAACCCATCAGCTACAATTGAACTAAAACAATTAAATATCAGAATAAAATACATATGGTAAGAAGTAAAAACCCATATCCGATAATAACAATAATAGCATAATTGCAGGGGAAAAACATAATAATAACTCCATTACATCATAAAAAGCACTTAATAACGTTTCCAACCCTCAGATCTCACCAAATTAGAAATCAACCCCCTAATTCTCTGCCTCAAACGCCGACGCCGGAAAAGACCTGGAAATTCCAGTCGGAGTCCCAAAGGTGATTTTCCCCGATTTCGGGTCGTCGATATAGATCTCTGAGATGGTGACCCAGATCAGAATCTCCTTGCTCTTGACACCTGTCAGTTTCTTCATCTTACGTTCCTCGACGAACGCCGTGACCTCCGTATCGTAGAACACCGACTTGCCGATCGCTTGGAACTTGTGCTGCTTGCTCTTCTTCTGCTTCACCCAAACGAATCCCGTGGTGTGGTTGTACCCGACCTCAACGAAGTCCTCGAGGGGGAGAAGACCGGTGGGGAGAGAGATTTTCTCGAGGAGTTCGCGCGATTTTTGCTTGCAGAGGGCTTCGCCTGTGTATACTTCAGCGTTTTCGCGGTGGTTGGCGATCAATTGGGACGACATTTTGGTGGGTTTGGAGTTGAATTTGAAGGGGTTTGATGTGTGAGGAAATGAACTGAAGGAGAGAGATGGAGAGGCCGTGTGGACCTGGTGGGTATATATGGGGGCTGGTCTGTGGATGAAGTTACTGAAATAGCCTTTGGCTTTGATTTGTGTGAGATAAATGGTGTCAGACGAATATGAATCAAATAATTTATATAATACTAAGAGAATATTACGTAACTCAAATTTGCATATTAAATTTACATTTTAAATGAAGAGATCATTGAATTAGTGAATTCTATTAATTTTTTTTACTGTTCCAATGATTCCCTTCATTTAAGATGCAAATTTAGCTTGTAAATTTGTGTTACATAGCATTACTAAAAAATAAAATATATAGATAGTTAAATTTTATCTCCTATATATTTTTCTCTCAAAAATTATTACATTATTCATTTCTATCACACATTTAATTATTTAATATTTAATTAATTTTTAGTTTAATATAATTTTTATTTCAAATATTATCCGTACACGATAGTATATATATGTTGAAGAAAAGAAAAATTATTGTTTAATATAATATAATCAATTTTTTTGCTCTAATTTTAAATTCTATTGTGCCTTCAGGCACGAGATATTACTAATTATTTAATGAAATAGAGTTGAAATATTTAAAATTCAAATTATATTTGATAAAACTTAGTTTTAAGTGAATTTAATGAGTAAATTTTATTTTATACCTTAAAAAATTTAAAAATTTTTACTTTATAACTTTAAAGATTAAAATTTTCACATCATACCCTGAATGTATTAAAAGTATTATAATGTGACGATATCGTTAGATTCAATAACTTTTTTTGTCAATGTCAATGAAATAATTTTTGATAGAAAAAAATAAAAGAAGTTAACTGAAGAAACATATTAAAATACTTTTAATACATTCAACTTGCAATATGAAAAATATAATCTTTTATGATACAAAATAAAATTTTTTAAATCTTTTAGAGTATAAAATAAAATTTCACCAAAGTTTAATAGGATGGTGGAAAGCATTCAAATATGGACAAAAAGGATTAGATACGATTTTCAGCATTTTTGGGTTAGTAAAGTTTCGAATGAGGCAGTCCATGAGTTAGTATAGAAGCATGTACTAAATCTTTAAATCAATAAGATTTTAATTGTTGTTTATAAAAAAAAGAGTTTGGGCCGATTTGAATTGGATGATTAAATTTTAATGGTTTTGGAAATAAGATACTTGAATCAAGTTCGGATGCGTTTTCAATTAAATTTAGATTCAAAAATAACAAAATTTGATTCGAGTCTGATTGCTAAGATGCCCAAAGTTTGGTAAACTTGAAGTGGTTTTCAAAAATTGATAAATATTTCATTCCAAAAATGAAAAATTAATTCTTTATTTATGGATTAAGATCATCTCTAGTCCTTGAAGCCCCTAAATCCCTTACTTTTATATTTTCTTTTGTGTATTAATGTGAACTTTATTAATTAATATACAATAAAATCCGCTTAAATATATGATATAATATAAAAAATTTAAAAATCTTAGCATAGAGAAGGATCCGAGTCACCTCTATTCATTTGTATGGCTCCTTTTATAATCTTGGTTATTAACATTTATTTCAGTTTGTTTATATGCATGTGTGAAAGGTACTCAAGTAGCCCTTTGATTGTTGGTTTTTTTTTTTGGGGGTGGGGGGGGGGGGGGGGGGGGGGGGG